GTCGAGTTCGTGTGTACCTGGCCCATATGGTAATACAGTACGATACGTTCATGTTTCGTATATTGAAAAGAGGTATAGAAAAACAACTGTAATCACTCAAATCTACATCTTATTATCTGCATCTATTGCAATTGGTAGTACGGTTATTTCTTCATTACAGTACGCTGATTTATCGACGTATACAAATATATTTTTTGTTTAAGAAAGTACATATAATAGAAAAGAGCTCAGTGCGACATATTTTTTGCAACATTCATGATTAATAGGCTAGTGCTTTAAAACTACTTTGAACATCGAACACTGACAAAGGATGTTTTTCAAGAAGCAAAAAGTCATCGACTTACTTACGGAAAAAATGAAGAAAAGTAGTACACTTTAACACAAGTTTATGGTAGTATACAGCCGCTTATCCTATAAGACGAATAAGCGGCCGTTGGCAATGATTTCTTCTACGGTGTCACAGACAAGCAACAAGAACAACAACTAGCTAGGGAGATCAGGTTGGATAACGTTGTCCGCTTACCTCAATTAGACGAGGCATTTGCAAAGGTACCTTTTCTTTTAAATGCTAAAAAAGAACCTTCTAATGGTAGCTCTGCCTCAAGCTTAGATTCATAGAGGTAGACCCCTCTTTCTGTTTGAAAATGTATATCGCTAGAAACAGTAGATCAATTTAATGCTGTCCTGACAATGCTAATTCTGTAAAAATATTTATATGCATCAAATAAAACACCAGCAACTTGCGAAAGGAAGTAGAAAATATTATGATTTCTGTGAAGATTGGAAATTATACGATGGCCTATGAAAATGTAATAAATAAAACATGCATTAAACTAACGAAATGATAGATAGTAGGGTACGCAATGTCAGTTCTTGTCAAAACCTCATATTTGAGCCATTTTGTCGAAACAGACGCATCATTTAGAATAGCAATATGTAAGAATTATGGTCACGTAAACCTGTACATCATCCGTCACTGGATGCCTATATATATGTATGCTAGCCTATATGTTAGCTGCTTAAGTACTATAAAACAAATGTGGAACGTTCTCGTTTTCTGTATTAAATTGTCCAGTCAACGCAAGTTTGGACTACAATAGACTACTAGAAAGAACACGATTTAATAATATGACCATTAATGGTAATTGCGGCACTAATACCATTGCAACATTACACGCATCCAATTCAGGTAAGTGCTTTATTGGCCGAGGTGGATAACATGGACATTGAATTGAACTCCCTAGGCGGACGCAACCTGACGGCTTTAACTATTAGATGTCCGCATCTGAAGCTCAATAAACCCACCGGAATCTAGGTGTTGATTGGTGGTCGAAGTGAGAGAGGCAACACTGACCCTGCATTGACGGCCGATTAGACTCGAGCCCTTTCTTTTCGACATTACCAACGACGTTTTTAGCTGATCCCCCTTCACCTCACATTGGCCTCTCTTGCCGACTAGGCCACTCGACCAAATGTCTACTTCAGTGCATGGACCGCCGCATAAATGGGTGCCTGTCTGGATCTCCATGATGTTACGAGTCAACCAATGAGCCTCTCTTACTCCCAAGCAACGATAAGGACGAGTGAGCACAACTGAGACCCAGTTGACTTTCTACAGCACAAGTTCAAATTAGGGCTTGACTACTGATCTCCTCGGTAAGGCAAATATTTAGTTGTTAGTGTGAATTGTCGCAGCAACGCACAGACTTCGCCACTCCGTTAGGCGGTAACACGTTGACGCAGACGTTCACTCACTACAGGAATGGTGCGGGAAAATAAAGTTGAGCGACAACTTTGCCTTGTCGCTTCGAGAGGGAAGCTGAAAAAGAGGGAGAATCGGCGTTGAGAAATGAGGTTGTTTGAGAAAGGCTGAATTCAGTGGGCAAGCCAAGGCAAGCCTACCGGTGTGATTGCCAGCTAACTCCTAGGCTACAGCTATTACATACATTTGCCGATAAGAAGGCTGTAGGCGGTGGCAGAAACACCAAGCTAGCTAGCCAGTTATCTGATCCTTTCCTCTATTCCAGTAGCGAGACAGTAGAGAATATGGTCAAATAGGCACCCCCGGCCTCGGCCCTCGCGACGCCTCTACCGCCAGATCTATGTACCAGATGCCAATGCTGAATTCGCGTCGATGGCTTGCTTTTGTGCAAGGAAAGGCTCTAAATCTAATACTCAACCTTGTGATGGCAAGCATAGCATGGGCAGACAAGAAAGCATAGGTGGGCTTCTGCCTCCTTGGCGCTATCAGCGTCGCTCATCTTATAGGCCTTAGCCCCTCGGTGGAACCTACACATAACAACGATAGGCGTTAATTGGCACCCAAGGGGCTCCTCGCCAGAAAGACCCCATGCCGCGTGTGATCGGTCAGTGGGTGGTTCTCATCGAAGGCTTGCTTGGTTAATCCTTCGAATTGGAGAAAGACGACGATAGATAGAAGACGTTTCCCTGGGCTAACACTGCGTGTCGTTCCTGTATCGTACCCAAATACAACCTCTAACTATGTGCCTCTCGCCACTACCCTCTCCCGTACATTCGCACCTTGAGTTTCCTCTGACCCTCTCTGCTCATCAACAGATGAGCAAGCAGCCAACCAAGCGGATAGGCGGATGGGCTATTGGGCGAACGGCAAGCCAACTTCGATATCCGTTGTCGATCTCTTCTTAGCAAATGCCAACATTGCTTTCGTATCGTAAGTAAAGGGTCTGCAGAACCGTCTAAGCTGGTGAAAGATACTGCTATAGACATATATTGTATCTGTACATTGATCTGAACAAACCTGCCTTTGATTTTAAATGCCTTTCGTACGTGCCACTATGCAGCCAAATAAAAAAAAACTTGCATATAAGTTAGTAGATTTGAAACAGTAGGAAAAATCAAATCCCAGTTACTACTGATTAATCTCTTATAAGCGACCGAACGCACTTTTGCAGGTTCAGCATATCGCCGCCATAGTGGAGCAGGAAGGAAGTTTTATTATGTTACTTTGTAGTTCTCTTTCTATGAATGCAAGGCATCATATGTTTAATGGCTATAATTGGCTAATTTCTCACATACTAGTATCATCATAAGTGTATCCTAGAAGAAAAATGCGACTTTATAATTTAGCGAAGAAAGTCTACCTGACCATCTAAAGTAAGAAAAAATATAGGTTGCGGAATGTAGATGATGGTCCATAGCGCCGGCTGTTAGCGCTCTAAGCGTTTTCAAAAATACGTACATATATATTGTTAAACTGAATCTGAATTTACAAGTGGCACGAGAGCGCGAAACTTGTTTTTCGTTCGCTTTTTGATGCTCTGTTTAATCTGATTTTCCTCTCCGATTGGTCGTTATTACTAGGAGCTGTGTAGCCGTCGACCGCGTTATCACTGACTGATTGGCGTGTCAGAGAAAAAGATACTTCTGCCAAAATAACAGACGCTTATAATACTCAGGCAATAGTAAAGTGCAACACTGGACATCTGTTTATGCAGTAGTTCGAATTAAACGAACAGTAACCGTAATCACTGTTCCGATGATGATTTAGGCTCTACCGTATTATGCAGCAGCGACAGGGATAGGCTTGAATAAGGCTGCCTGCGTTAGATCAGCATATACTTTTGTATAGGGTATTTAGTATTTTGATCGCTTTTGTTTACTAGGCCAAAGCTCCTAGAATAGATACGGGGACCATGACAAACAGTTGGGGACTTGGTATGCATGCATACATAGCGTGTACTTCGAAAGAGTCAATCAAAGTACTCTTTCCGACACTTCGTAACAACGATTATCTCCATTTTCGTGAAGAACAGAGGCACGCTTAGTCCAAGTTCTATAATTTTCTCCTGTTAGACAAAATATAGATTCCTCAATTGTTCAAATTAAATAAAGTGCCGCAACGATCATGAGAACAGCTCGGATACAAAACGTTACCTACCTAGGGGCATCATATATGGAACTCTGAAAGGCGTTGGAGAACTAGATTATTTACACAGGCCTGGTATCAAAATAGGATATAGCAAAAAAGCCCTTGATGTTTCTTTCAATTACATTTTGTACTCTTCCAATTCGTTACATATCGATAAAACATATCAAAAGCGGTTTACCCTCAAGTTGCACTAGTTTTGTTCAATACAAAAAAGGAGAAGATTTGCTAAATACATAGGATGTGACGAATAGCTTGTAGTTTTCACTCGTCTACATATTCTCTAAGCCTTCAGTCACTCTATTCATGTTTATCGTTGAATCCTTTCTCGGAAGCCTCTGTTTGTCGAGCATTCGTGGTCACACACTGCATCGAGAACAAGCACCAGCCAACATCAGGGCAATGACGGTTCAGGCTGTCAATGTTCCACAAGAGTATGCGTATCAGTTATAAAATTCTTCCATTCTGTTTTATAAGCTGTTCGCTATTGCACTGAATGAACTGTAATTTATTTGAGATACGCAGAGAAGATATAAGGGGAGAAGAAAAAAATTACGTTGATGTAATTTATACGTTTGAATCTTCCAAGTTCTGCTGTTCCTAGATGATGTTTGATGCACTGACGGGTATCTTTGGATGTCGAATGGACAATTCCATTAGGGCGAGTAATTCATTGCTGATAAATTAGGACGCCCCTTTCGATGAACCGGTTTTCCGAGGTATAGAATGATGAGAGCTTATTGGAAAGGTCCGTGAAGTAATAGCGTGATTGGGTAGCGCTCGTTTTCTCGAGTGTGGTCCCCAGTAGACGGGAGGCAGACCTCTTCTGTTTTATACGACACATTCGGGTGACGTACAGGAGTTCCTCCATTATGCTATGTGTTAAACACAAATCTATTTACTTTGTGCAACTGCGAAATTGAGATTCGAAAGATGTGTTTTATTTAAATTACATAATAAACACACGTAAATTGGTTATTAGAGAGCATTGTGCTTTACAGAAGTGTAGAATGTGAGCGAGTTCAGAAGCAAAGCCTTTGATATCGTGTCCAAGGTTGTAAGGTAGGATACGATGTTTGTTTGTGTCATTAATATGGCTTGGAAATTATCCCGTTTTTATATTGAACCATTTTCAGAGTGGTCGAATTAATTAATATGCGCAGCATTAGACAGGGGAAAAATTTCATCCTGGCGGAAGGACCCACTCGACGCACCAAAACCGAAAACGACGAGCCAAATTGTTTGCTACCAATATTGTTAGTAGTTATTTGTATTATTTTATTGTATACTGTATTATTAATAGTTGACAAATACTTCGGAACGCTTTTGAATAGCTTATATCAGAAACTGTTTAACATAAGCCGCTAAAATTCAGCGAAAACATTCAAGTCCCTGTGTAGAAAACAGCGAACCTCCATCGTTGACGTTTTATTTATATTAATTACTAAGTACTCTTGTTCAAAAACAGGTTCCTCTCTATCTAACACGGTTGTTTTTCAACTTATTCGTGTTTAACTTTAGTTCCTAACCGGAGAGTGTTTGTCCTGGTAGTGTTGAAATAAATTAGTCTCCAAGGCAAAACATTACAGTGTTTATTTGACGGACTCATACACTTAACGTATTTGATGCCGAAAAAAACAATTGATAATCTAGCAGTAGGGCTACTTTCGTGAACATGATTGACGGATATGACGCAACTGGCTTTTACTAGAGCTTAATAGTTCAAAGGAACGGAGCTGCGTGGAGAAGACAAATGATTTTAATTGTCTTCAAAGCAGCCATGATAACACCAACGAAAATTTAAAAGCTTCATTGATTTCAATTGCGAAAACTGCATTTATAAGCAAAATGTATTATTTTTATATTCCTTATTATCGACTCGACGAGTTGAGTACTTCAGTAATTTTTTCTTTGATGCCCCGGAAGCCTTCTCGAATTCTTTGGTTAGCTTCTTCAGCGCCCTGCTTGATTGTGGCTTCGACTTGAGCGCCGATTTGGGTCAGCTGTGTCTTCACCCGTAGAACAAACGGAGTAACGTAATTATCAGCAACAGTTAGATCACCAACATAGAATACATTCATATTAGAGTAGCTCAGGTGGAAACTCCTTTTATTTACCTACAGATTATTTTTCAGCGAGACTAAAGTTTTTAGCAATTACATTTAAGCTAAAACCTTGATGGTTATCCGCAAGGGACCTTTAGAATATATAACGGAAATTATTATAGGGATATGGTAGAAACGATAAAAAATATGTTTAAAAAAATTAATGAGCCAAGTTTCAATAGACATTGAGAACCTCTGGCATTTCTGTCGTTATTGCTAGACAAACAATTGTCACCAGATTAAGCCTGTTCTGAAAAGGTTTATTTAAATGGTACACCACCACGGCAAAGCTTATTTACCTGGGCCGAGTGTGGAGCTTAACCCTGATGGTTATGCCGAGACCATTACCATCTAAATCTCAATTCCTCTCCTATACTTCACTTCAGACCAGCCAAGATCATCTTTTAATAGTAGTACGGATTAGGAGTGGTGGCGTATGCTATAGGCTCAAGAGCGAATAAATTGATTTGTGCCGGCGCCAATGCATTGCCTTATGAAAGCATGGCAAGAGCGCACCGTCAAAACCAAGTTGTTAAGAGACTAATGAAGTTGAGAACAAAGTGGTCGGTAAGAGAAAAACGTAGTGCTCGAGAGAGTCAGTCTTCTCCGACCAATAACAAAATCAGCGTGTAATCATTTGGTGGCTGCATTACAATGGAGTGGACGATTTAGTACGTCGTCTGATATAATTGAGCCTTGAAGCTCTCTAGCATATTTCGGGCAGAAACGAAAAACCTGAACGGCGATTAATCAAAGAAATTTATCGAGGAAATAGAGCTTTCTTTCTTTGGAGGGAAAGGAAGAAGAGTCTTTTGGGTAGGTTTGCCGGAAAGTCCAGAGATATAAGGGAGTTTTATATGACCTCGAGGCGGATGTTACTAACACGAAAAGTCGTTTTTATTTGTGCGGGTAAAGAGGGTCGTTTTGGACATTGTAGAGCTCGATTACGACCCCCCGGTGTTTCTCTAGGCCGTTAAAAATTTATCGGTAACTATCTCGCATCTATTTGCTCCAATGGCAGCTATCAGGCATTTCTAGGCTAATAAACTAGCCGACCGAAACATTTTCGTTTTTAACTCTCTGCGGTGTTACCTGATTTTGCGTTTACTATCGATGCTGAAGAATAAACGCATAAAGGGGCCTCTATTTGACCTAAGGATCTAAATGTATCTTGCCCGGCAAACCCTCGAAATCATATGATAGGAAGCTCGTTGAAATCTTTTCGGTTTTTGCAAGCGCGCACACTCAAGGCCCCGTCTTTCTGGCACGGCCTTTTGAGGCTCCTTCACGGGCTAATCAGCTTTTTGTTTATTTATGTAGGAATATTTTGGCTGGCCAAAAGATTCCAGGATCTTCACCGCATATCACAGCCAGGTTGGACTGTAGAACGGCGAGCCTCATAACTACTGCTTGCTTGGATTGCGAGAACGATGAATAATAGCTACTATAGAGAATCAAAAAATATTGGGGTAAGCATGAGGGTGTGCCCGTTGTGTGGGTCGACTGAAATAGAATGAATTTAGGTAGCTGTTACAAAAATGGTCTTTCGCTATATCGGGCTAATTCTAGAGGTTGATAGACTGTTTTGTAAGGTCGACGACAATACCAATAGCGGCGCTCTGCAGCATATTATACCATTACATCTTCTTCCAAAAAATCAGGGATTAACGGATATCCGTGTCCCTGTTGAAATGTACCAATACCTTGTCCATATGCGTCCGCAAACGTTGAACGACTCCGGCGACTGTTCCCTCTGATGAAGTAGAGCCGTCGGTGTGCATAACGGGTAATATAGCGTCAGTTCTCCTCATACCTAAGTTCATCGCACCGTGAAAGTTAAGGGTTCCTCCGGTAAAGCGTTGCAGGTTACTAAATCATACGTAGCAACTTGGAAACAAATTCATAATCCAGCTATGTTCCAAGTAGAAATATAGAAAGCTTTTTATTTGTCTAAACAATCTTATTATTATCTGATATCATACAAACAGCTTTTAAACCCTCAAAATATAATGCTATATACTGTACCTAAATCTGCATCGGCAGCAGGTCCAACACGAGAATTCGCCGCAGAATCGGTTTCTGCTACAGACGCAGGTAGCACATACTTGGATACTATTGAGTGACTGAATAATACGATGATGATGAGAAGGTCAACAGGGATCTTATGGTAGATTATAGCTTTTGACATTTCTGCTGATTTTCCTGCCATAGAGATATCAGTATCATAGGATCGAGTATGTTATTTATTATATACATCAAGCACTTTTTACGCTAGTTATGTAACCCAATCTATAACATTTATCAGCGTTCGAGTTACAGATTTAACGTAAAAATAACATAAATCCAATTAAGTAAGTTGTCCATATCAGGCTCGATGCATTGAATGACTCCTTCTTCTAAGAAATTTCATGTGTTAGCTACTTACCGACGTAAATATATCTGCTTTTAGCAACACCTTGTTTCATGGCCATGTGCGATTACAGAAAAAAAACTTTACATGTACGAGTACACGGATACGGGGAAAGGGTTGGGTTGGGTTAGGTTGGTATAACGTGTTGCGTCTTTGTAAGAGCGCTATCATATAAGTTTTCTTACGTGTGTGTCACCGGAACTCACCGTTTACGCTGTACTCGAATCCTATATGAAACTATGTAAAATGTGTGTTCGTAAAGGAAACTTTATTTTGAGAAAAAGGTACCTCATTTAATTTGCAGTGTTATTATAAACGTATATAGTTATATGAATGGGTATTCCTAGAATACGTTGGGAAGTCGTAACAGCCTTAGCGGAGTGATCTTTCTTTCTTACACTACAGATCCGGATAGAGCAGCTCCACTTGATTGCAGGCCACCGCACTGTTTCACGCTACTATATCCGTTGTGTATCTAACAAAGTTGAAGACATCTGAGGTGATCTACGTATGAAACCGGCGAGACCGTAGAAGAACTTCGTTTCGAATCGAGACGCAGCCTCGTGGAGTAATGCTTAACGGCAAGACTCTAAACGCAAAACTCGAAATATCTACTTGCACAGCGTGGCTTGCATCACACGCCAGACTATATGCAGGAACTCGTAAGTCCCGTAAACGTAGCAGGCTCGATCCAAGTGCAAACACTGAAATGAGGGTTATTGAATCGAATTTATCCTTCTAACGCTCTCCATAAACTATACAAATGCAAATAGATACGCCTAGAGCATTATTAGTTCAGCCATATGTGTGAAAGCACTCTTACCGCAAATAATATAGTGTTAAATGTGAACGTTGAATTGCGTCCACCATAAAGTTTCTCGTAATCTCAGTACACGATTTAGGCAATCGCTTTGGTGGTTCAGTTGATAGAGTAATCAAGGTATAAAATCATTGTCATTTCTTTTCGTGATCTCTATTTAGCGTTCGATCGATTTTTCACGTCAGAACAGGGCGCTTTGACAATCTGCAATAGAATACGAAGGATATACCCAGCTGAGAGAAAGGGAGCTAGCTGATCGGCGGATTTTGACATATCTACTCTCTGTGACTAATGCTAACGCCAACAACCTCTATTCAATAGTCAATAGTAATTTGCCCCTGTCTCTATAATAGAAACGCAGGCGTAAATTTTGTATAAGGGCTCTAATGCAAGGCTTACATTAAGAGATAAAAAAAGTTCACCTATTTGCCACTATGCTTGTGAGATTATTAAAGGCCGTCAATCCAAACGGTATCAATGAACAATGATTTTTGCGAAAACGGAAGATGTTTGACAAAACGTTTCTCCGAAAAGGTTACATTTGAACCAATTTCATCAGATATGTGTCTCTTCCAACAGACTGATTGTCATGTTCCTTTAGCCTCGAAAGCTACGCGTGCCTTGTAACTAACTATCTGTAGGCCAAGACTAAAGGACAGACGAGCTGTTCAATCAGGATAAAATATCGATAGTGAGCTATCTGTAATAGCGTGAGATGAGACGAAACAATAGTTTAGGGCAAGTCTCACCGTATCAGAAACTGTTGAGGTTCTGCCAGTAATATTTTATTCGGTAACAAGGTAATAGTAAGTTGAAAATTATTCAATGTATTTTATGTTTCTGCTACGCAAATCAGCGATCTTTGAGTTATATTTCGTAGCCTTTAATAATATTGCGCCGATACTATCCAATCATTGCTCCAAAGGGGAATCATTCATTTAAACTCGATCAGTTTGCTTGACCCGTTGTGTAATATGGCGTATTGCCACAAGCTTGCAGATACTCCAGCGGGTTTCAGATTGCCTTTACAGGTCCGATTCTCTACCACTGGTTCTTTTAGTTTTGATGTGTGCGAGGCCGACTGATTTATAAACCTTAAATTTGTAAATTTAGCCACTTTGATCTTCAAAAGAGCAAAAAACGTTTTAACCTCAGTTGCTGTTTTTCTGCAATAATTCTCGGCGGCATGTACTACTTTTCCTAGGGTTCTTCACTAACTACCGCGCTGGATAGGACAACTAGATGCATATACAATCAGAAACAGTAAATAGTTGATAATTTAAACGGGTGCTTGCGGCGAAGAGTCATCCTTACGCTACGTTCAAAACGGAACCAATCCCTAGTGGGCCTAGAATTTACCCACGCAAATTGCAAACTATGTTAGAAAACGCCGGGCACAATTCCATACATTAACGTGTATACACTAAATAATTCTAACTTAAATTCGGTCCATGATAACTGTCCCTGACTGAAGCAGAAACCTCTTCATTTCCGTTTTACTTCTTTATAAAGTCGAGCCAGGTCTGAGGACTGGATGGCCGAACCTTGACCGACATGCTATGCAGGCATGAAGAAAATCGCTACTTCAAATCCCGCCAGCGCAAAATAGCTACATAACTTAAGTAAGCGAGAGAAGTTATTGTTAGCGTGAGAAGAAATTGTGCCACTTACTCTTATGGTTATATTAAAAGATATTTAAAAAGGCAATGAGACAACAGATAGCTGCGTCGCCCTGAAGTAACTACTCATAATTTAGTAAATAAAATATTCTCTTAATCTGAAAACATTATTATAACAGCTGGCCTTTATTTAAAATGAATCACAATACGACATCTCACACACAAGTGATAATTTTTTTCAAACGTTTTCACTCACTCTAAACAACATATAAATTACGGATATATTTATAATAAAAAAACAAACTTGGAAACTTAAACATAGAGGCCCGTGCATACGTACTCACAGCCATAGTATCCGTGTTCAGTACGAAGGTTCATGAGATGGCGATGAGGATGATAATGAGTTTAAAAGTTCCCAGTAAAACTATTGGCATCTTTGTATGCATCGGGTCATTTACTTTATAATGACATTACAAGCGGCAGCTGAACGAATATCCTATCTCGATATGAACAATAGTGATACGTTTAGCTAGCTAGCTAGCGTCCGTTAAAACGGTGACATTTTACAGTATATACAGGATACAAACGTGTTTCTAGCCGTCACATGGTTAAGATTCTTCTATTCTATTGCTGTATCTGATGAAGTCTAAAAGCAGTGCTTGTAATATATGAACTTATATGAATGATTTGATCAATGCTAACTTACGCACTACAGATTTCAACTCGAGTGAATTCAGAACGAAGTTGCACCGTCCAATGACAAACGTCGTCAAGCAGTTTTCACATATAGCACTTTATATTCATTATGTAACTGAAATACGTTAGAACTGCGCATTGTCTATAACGTTTCACTAACAAGCTTTGTCCGCGATGGGGATGCCGTGAGCAACAGCTCCAGTGTTAAGTAATGGTGCATCGAAGATTGAGCCAAGAATCTCGAGAATCGGTGCTCCATGCTCAACAAGAGGCTCTTCCGCTACCGGTTCGGCGGTATTCTCGATAACATGCCCTGTTGCAACCGGTGTTTCTTTGATGACGGGCCTTGTGGCAGGCACAGCGATTTCGGCGTCAGCGATTGGAGGACCTTCTTTTATAATGGGGACGGCTGCCTCAGAATTGACGATCGGAATATCTGGCTTCGCAACAGGCTTCTTTAAAAAGACTGGTTTAAGGACAATAGGTGATGGATGCAGTACAAAATGCTTCTTGACGATAACGGGCATCGGACGACGGCTAAAACTGATTTGATAGTTATGTACACCAAAATGATGACCCGGATTCTTAACGAACTTCTTGTAAATATAATGACCCTTGTACTGAGGTTCAGGTTTTTTAATGACTATTTGAGAACCGGTAAGAGCTGGAGCAGTGGGCTTTTCTGCGACTATAGGCGCGGGAGGGGCATGTACAATGGGAGCAGTGTTGACAGCGGGTTCAGCGTGTACACTAGGGGCAATTGGCTTTCCCACGGGGAGGAGCCCAGGAGCAACTGGCAAAACCGGTGCAATAGGATAAATAGGGGCAACTGGATCTTCAGAAACGATCGGAAGCGGGAACTCCTGATGATGTTTCAAATAGACGTTCTTGACAATAACTTTTTCGCTGAAAAGTCGTAACGATACAAGTAAATTTAGATAAGTTATATGACCTTCTTCTTTGCTGTGCAAAATCCGAACGACTCTATATAGAGATAGACGGAAAAAAAATTCTACCGTCATTTGTAAAATAAATGACATGTAACATAAGGAGCCAAGGTTCGTACTGAAGTCGATATTTATATCGTTGTTGTTTTCGAATTGCAGGCAAATTAGTCCCCATTGAATTCAAGTAAATGTTACGGAAAAGCTAGCCTCCACTTACTGGTCTCCATGTTTATGTCCTAGCCCAATTCCATGCCCACTAGGCCAACCGTTAGTATGCGCCTGCAACCCGTGTCCATGGGATTTGAGGAGAGAACCAGCGACATAACCGCCACCTGCTCCCATGGCTCCCGCGCCTCCAGTAAGTGCACCGCGTACAGCTAACCTATGCTTTATCCTTGCATCAACGGAAACCCATGGACTAACGAAAAGGGCTGCTAGAGCAAGCACGGCGAACGACTGCATATTTACTCTTATATTGCGCTGTTGCTAGTCGCTGATAGGTCAACATACACGTTCTAGGCCCAACACATTTAGTACACCACACACGCTCAAATGCTAGACACTCTCACTTCTAGTCGCTTGCAGTTACACACATATGATGACGATTGTGCTGATTCTAGCGGTGAAGTTTACTGTTCCACTGCCTATTTTTGACTCATCCTAAGCGGAAGCAGGACAAGAGCCTAAGAAGAGTCCTTCGGCAGTACTGTCAGCTGTGATGTCGGTGATGGTCACTGTCGACATTTTACCTATTTGGAGTTTGATTATATAACGGATTTTTTCTTGCTCTCTCGGATAGCTGTTATTCCATCTCCGAGGTAAGGGCACGATTATAAACAAAGGGGTGCTTTGCTATGAATATGACTGAGGTGCAAGAGCGATAATATTACAGATAGCGGGTCAATAGGTAACGAAATGAGACAAGAAAATTTTCGTGCCGGGCCCCCATTACGAGTCGTTCACTTTTTCGTACTTGTTCTGCGTTATTGCCAAAGCGTAGCATTGCATAAGGGTAGCGCATCAGGGCGGTGATCCGGCAATGCTCTTGTAACTTTACCTTTGAGGGAGTGTTATCTGCTCATTACAAGGTTGGGCGGAGTCTTGATGAGGAGAACTGTAAATGATGTGATGATTGAGCCATTGCAGTACTATCCTATCCGCGTAAATAAGCTAATTGTTACTAGTACTCAGATAGTATTATTCAGTCTATGCGCATCACAAGTGCGAGAAATACACCACGTTTTATAATCTGTTCCTAATCGACGCGTTCAAAGCAACTGTTGCTTGTCTGGGATCGTGGTTTTATTCATTGATCCGTATGTGACCTTGTCGTCGAGGCAAGATATACTATTATATGCATTATGGGTCAACCCAGCAAGCATTAAACACAGATGACTCTTCCGATGCCCGTGAATTGTCGTCTTCTTGTTCTTCACTTTGGCTTCGCAAAACGTTATTACCGTCGCGGACCGCATTGTCCAGAACGGCGATAGCGCACGGTTTCGATTGAGCAGTGTAATAATTATAATCGTATGGGGGCTGCATAACGACAACTACAGGGGTAGCGGCTACGGTGAGCGTTGCCATTGTCATGAATATGTGATACAAGCAAATGGCGCCCAGCTGTGCGCGAACGAAGTGATTCTACAGCTACACGAATGTGACCCAAATAAAAACGCAATTGTCGAGCGAAAGGTAAGATGTCGCGGTAAAGATGATCACAAGGACCGATCAAATGTCCCCAAATAGCACATGATTCCGATGAAGCGTGCGAGTCAGCGTACTGACGTGAAGGTGGACTCAACAGATAACGAAGCTGGGCTTCATAAACGCTGCAAAGCAACGGTCCTTTCAGGTCCCCATGAAATTAGTGTTTACGGGAGACGTATTGATGCTATTGGCGATAAATAGCTTCACTGATTACGGCCACGTAGCCGTATCTACAATTGCGTTACGTAGCAAGAGATGGACACGCTCGACTATTATACTGTCTATGTACCGTCTAATCACGCAACTAAATTGCTGAAACCGATAAAGCTACGGGTGAATAGAAAGTTTCGTCATCCTGCTACTACTAATTTCACTACGAATTCTGTGCATAGAATATAAAGCGTATGTTTCATCTGAGCAGACATTACGTTACTAGCAAGACACGCTACAAAACTCAGGACGATCTGAGGTACATTGATCGATTCGAAATGCGTTTCTCGCAAGCTACGACCAGCGTGACACAAAATCTGCTTCCTGGTAAAACTATCACCACTTTTTGTTCGACCTGCGATGTAATGGGGACCCACTCGTAAGCCTGCTATATTTTATGTTTAAAATATAATTTTACAGCATAATGTTCCTCATTACATGTAACGGCGATCAACAATACACCGAGGGACCGATCGAGGGTCCACATTACTCTGTTTGGACCTTTTCATTCATCTTTCGTTGTTATTACAAAGCTTTTGAATTATTTGGCGAAACTTTGCAATTTAATTTGCATCCGTATGTTATTACACGGTGAACGTACTTTGTGTTTGATCTACTTTCAGTGTAACAGTTCGGTAACTTGTTGATGAATACGGGAGCATACGTAAGGTTAATTATTAAGTGATTATTTTGTCAAAAATTGTGTTTTATCTAGTAATGGCCAAAGGACTGCGTCGGCGTTACGAGTTAGCATCTACGGCTCGCTGGGTCATGTATGCCTTAGGTCTCGCTCTTCATCTTCACGAGTTAGACTATTACAAACGAGCACCACGGATATGAGTGTCGACTTTTATTAGTTGACCTGCGTAGCCTCTAAACGGCGAAGCACAGTCTCAGACGTAATCGTATAAGTAAGAAGATCTCTTCCAGTGAACCAGTAAGAAAGATCGGCAGCTGTCACGAATATTTCTGTTAGAAATTAAGCATTGATCGATGGACGCCGCATAAGCTCTAACTTAGCTCTCCAGAGGACCCCCTCCAACATACCCAATGTTAACTCGGCCTGTGCCGCCTTCACTCCCGAGATTAACATTTTCTATTTCTCAGGCCTTCGAGGTAGAACTCAGTTTTTAGGTAGGAACGGTGCGATCGACTAAGTCACTGTTCGACAAGCGTAATCGTTGAAGCACGAGCTTTCACAGACTTCCTGAACGCAGTTTGTATATAGACCACACAATTTTAGATCTGACGGATTTCAGAGGGCAAATATGGTGCCTAACACGTGGAGCAACCCTATGAGACACTGGCAAACTCACACGTTTCCAGCAATAACTTCCGTCGTAGGTATTGTTCTTTTTTTTTTTTTTTTTTACTTGGCATATGTGTATCAAGTAGAATGGCGTACTTCAAACAAGGATGGAACAACGAAAATCCGCAGGAATTTTACAACAAACTTTTTCTCTATTTCTTGTTTCGAAATGCGTGTCAGTGTCAAATGCAGATCTACAAAAAACGTTTTACGGTAGCCGACCTCTACAGACGATCAGTGTTCGGGAGGCGTGGTACATAGCATCGAGACAGCCTACTACGTGAAATTATAGAGCAGTCTCGCAAGAAAAATTCGAGCCACAGAAGGATCACTGCAACGTAATTCCATACGCGAATAAACAAGTATTCATATCTAACGGAGTTTGATTTTCAGTCGAGACTTTCATTTGAGAGTTGAAAAAGAAGAACTGAGTTCTACATTTTGAATTTTCCCGCCGGATCTTATCGCTTCTACGTCAGATTTTACCCCTAAGTAGCTAGAGAAGCAACAAGAGTGGGTCATTGAATCCGCAGCCGATCGTAGTCGATTTCCGTTCGCGAAGACAATGTTCATTCGCATGATATGACTTGTTAGGCTAACTAATAATAAGAACAGCACCGATACGAGCAGAGATACTCCCGTTCTGCGTGTAGCCGACTCAGACGAAAATAGCTATCAGTACCACAGTATAAGCTTCGCAGCTATTATCAACAAGCTCCAGACATGTGGAGTAGAATTTGACTGGGTTGTGTCTCTTAAGGGATAGCCATTAGTGAAATTACTATAAATACGAGCTAGACTATAGCCATCGCACAGCTCTAATGGTTTCGTCGAGGGAGAAAAATTTTCATATCAACACCTACTTAAGGCGTCAAACGCTAGCGATCTGTACTTTGTTCACTGCACCTAGTGTTTGTCGACTTCATAGGTGAGCTTTGAAAGGCGAACTGGAAGAATGAAAAGCCCAGATGCAATATATAGCTCCAAGTGATGATATCATGTCGTTCGAGATAACCTTTTTTCCGCTCTGTGCCATGTAATCTGTCAAATAAACACTTAAACGTATGTAATAGTAAGTTTCTTTGTCGTAACATGTGTTCCAGGTCCTATACTATTCAATATTTTTAATTTATCTAATTTTATTTATTTAATCTACAGTTGCATAGTGAGTTGTTGATCATCCCACGCTTGACGTCCCATAACTCTAGTTTTCACATAGTCGGGAATATGCAGAGAGAGTCCTTCACAGAGATATCATATTAATGAAACGAAAATTTTATATATATATGTTTACCTATACTTGTTGATTTTGATTCTCTTTGTTCAGTGACGGAAAGTACCTCCAGTGCTCAATATATTAATCACAGTTAAAAAATATAGCGCATTACGGCCAGATCAATGTTTGAAGTTAGGCAAATATAAGTCATATATGTTGAACGTATTTTTAGCTATTTAGGTAATACAAAGTGCTTGATCTAGCCTTGAAGTCCATAAGTGTAGACGCTGTTACCGATATTCGGGCTAACTCATCTATGAATCAGAATTCTAATTGAAAGGCAGGCTTTCTTATGGAAAAAAAAAATAGTAATTGAGGAAGGCCTACAAAACAAACAATACATTGAATCGTGAGATATATATATAGATAATTTTTCATATAAACCGCAGTGAACTATGTGCCGTCAGTACTCCAGATGCAAGCGAAGATTACATAAGATTGTTACGTACTGACTTCAGTTGGAGCTCCCCAGACTTCGCACCGCTATACATAGCTGCCGCTCTACCATAAATTGTTATTCTTATCCAGTATGTCAATTTTTACTTTCGTCTCTCAAACGCATCATTACGATTAATGAAAATTGGGTCAAATCGGGTTATTCGACCTATTTCTATGGCTCTGCCAATCCGAAACGATGCCGAGCCGAAAGTTGATCGTCGAAACGAACCGATGAATTACTGGTTTGTCCCAAGCTAAAATCGATACCTAATTATACAGCGTTGTAATTATATCATCCATTTTATCGTATGATCAAGCTAAATAAACTAATGAAATTACGATGTTTTTACTGCAGGCGCATTCACCCTCCTTCAAAGCTGAAGGTAGCCCTCGAAAGGTTGCTTTGCTACGACGTTCATAAGATTTATGCACGGAAAAGTGGTGGCTAGGAGAAGAGGTAAAGTAACTGGAGTCTAATACATTACTGATGGCCCAAATAGTCCGGTACTCAAGCTCAGCTAGAACGTTACCCTATGAATGTGTTCAACTAAATTAGTGCAGCTAACCAAATAAACACCGGTTTATTTGGTTAGCTGCACCATCACCGACTACTGGATAGCCGTCAATGCCTAAAGTTCATTAAGAACATCTTACTTCACCAGAAACATTATTTGCTCTTTGCGTCGTACAATAGATTGCCACATGAATAAGCAATGGCGTCATTGTTAGTATAGCCACTTGTGCTGCTGATATAGTTCGTATTAATTATCCTCGTCATTACATCAGGCCCCGCCTGTTTTCCAGTTCGCCAAAGTAGTTATCGTAGATTTGTCTTTTACTCAGCGACGCAGTATGTTCTGTAGATAACCACAGCGTCAGCTGTTCTGGGAATGTCGACAAAGGCAATTTCGGTGCACAATTACGTGCTTCGAATCCTCCGCCGGCGTTGCGCGTCTGCGTGTGCTTACTGCATCTTTGCTGTCATTGAGGTGTCGTTGTTGAAATAGTCGCGGGGTTCTGACCAGCGGTTGGTCCTTCAGCGCGATGGCCGTTGCGTCAGATAACGAACCGAAACGCGACAAGGCGATTTTTTTTTCCATCATAGCTCGCTTACAGTTGTTCGCTGCCTGTCTATGGTTGGTTACAGTTTGGCGAACGGCCCACAGCGGTCATCAGAAAATTATGGCGTCATGTTATTACTTATCCATTATCAAACATACAAGCCAAGAACGCTCGCCTGCTAGCTACTAAACCGGTACAATATTATTAACCTGCTATGAGGGATCTCACTTTCGGCTTAGGCTTTTCTTAACCACTGTATTTATTACGTTAGAATATTTGCTATGAGAAAAAAAGGTTCTTCTACGACTTAGATGTAGTAAAACTGATGATTTCTGCTCCCGCACTTCGACAAACTTGGTCTAATCTCTTCGATTTGCCCACGAAAGCATGGACAAGTGACAAATGCTGGCGTTCCACGACCATATATATGTACATAGTTCCATGTTCAAGTAAGTGTCATACATATTCTGTTAGCTACACAAAAGCCGCCACAGCTGTTTACCCACATAATTATGTGAAGTAACCACAAACGATTGATCTTTACTCGACATACAAAAACTGTGTAATTATGAGCCAAATAAGGAGTTAGTAATATTTATGCATAAAAGTATTGCAACGATCAAATCAAATACTTCACACTTCTGCAAAATCACATCAGAGTCATCTTTTCAACTGGCTTCACTCAAGAACTTTCGAGACAGCAATCAACACTTTCTCTGAAACTATTTTAGGTTTGGGCCTAAACCTAGCATTACACCTGATAATCTGACTGATCTCTCATCAGATAGTCGTCATGAGCGGAGGACTATTTCGATCCACCATAATATTAGCAGAATATCTTCACGCGATGAAGTGACTTAAAGTATGACATCAACGTGACAGACAGCCTGCCTTGATTCTTTCCGTCGACGCGTAGCACTTTCTGCGTATTAGTGAACTATAATTACATTAGCCTATAAGCTTCGTCAATGGGAATAGAAAATTAATTTTCGGTCTCACGTTCAGGTCAGCCGTAATGTGACCGTAATTGCTAGGAACACACTGTATTTCTAAAGACGTGTATAACGGTACAAACTGAAAAATTATCCAAATGCAACATCTACCAGTTCTACTAACAGCTAAAAGATCGTGTAGACCATATATATATATATGTATGTAAGTTCACTCTATGGCGAACTGGGTCTAGATAAGTGTAGATATATTAAGTTATAAATACACGGAACATTAGATTTAATTAACAAGACTGTGGCAGTTGTTTGTGGGGATACGCTAAATGCTTATGATGAAACGTTTCACAGTTTAGAACGTAGTTTATTTTGCATCAAAGCTTTCTATAGAAATGACCACTCTATTATGGTGACACTACACATGGGTCGTACAGTGGACGACCAATACTGCTTATTGACGAGAATAATATTAAGGTGATTGAACAGGAAATTCGTAGTTAATCTGAGATCAGGAACGGTCAAAACATCGTTGCGATACCGAGCACGGTCCAGTTACCTCAGTGTGACGTCGTGTCCTTCAACTTGACGTGCAAAAAAGCAGTTCGCAACGCGTTTGAAGACGAGGCATGGGCTAACAACTTCTTGGACTGAACTGCGTCATTTGATTTTCTCTGATGAAGTTCATTCTTAGTTAAATGACCATGTAAACTAATAAGATTGCCATATCTGGGGTTCAAGAGAACTTAAGACTGTGTCTCGAGCCATAACTGGGGTCGCAAAGAGCCGCTATGTGGTGCGCTTTATAGAGCAAAGCTGTCATTGGGCCCTCTTCCTTTGAACATGACGACGAATCATCATCGACAACAACAACAGTCGGTACTGAGCTCTGCCTTGAGATACTGCAAGCCTTCCTATAAATTGAAATAAGCACATTGGATGCGAAAAATTTCAACAAGAAAGGAGAAACTTGCCGCACGGTACGGAAAACAATGAATCTGCTGAAAACCATGTTCTCGGGCACGCTGATATCAATGCGTTTCAATGCTGACACCACCACCACCACCACTGTGATTTAAATCTTCTTGATCTGTCGGACTAAGCGAATAGTGGGACTAGTAGTTCAAGGTACTTCTTAAAGTAACGCTACGCTTCTATAGTGATAGAAAATTAAAAGCGCAAACCAATATCTACTTAAGCGTAGAACATGCGCGAAATATGCACTGTGATCAACTAAAGGTTTGCGTCAGCCAAATTATTGTCTGCCGTTTGAATTCAGCTGAAGGCCTGGTGGTAACGGCGCTGCCATTGATCGTCATGCTTCCGACGAATCAAGCTTAGTAAATTATGTTCTTTCAAATGGTCGTGGATCCGTGCTGTCCGTTGTTTCGGGTCCTTTACTATATTACTACAATATAACGGATGCCGGAGGCGCCCCCTTGGCGCGTAACATATCCATGGCTTCAATATCATTCTATGGCCGTATTTGCTAGAACTCACCTTCAAATCAACTTGCTCACCATAGAACAGAACCCAGATCTGGTGTCCAAAAGGTCCAGCAGAAAGCTAGCAGACGACAGATTTCCCTCACTCGTGGCTGGGCCTCTTTGCGGTCCTGATTATACACCCAGCTATTCTATAGATTTTGTATATAAATGGACTACACTGCTCACCAGGGGCAACCACAATACCGAAATTTCATCAAAAAAGTGGACGTTGTAGAAAAACAGGAGACGTCGTCCGTATACTAAATAGGAGCTCTCACCGACAAAAGGAGTTTTTAAGTTCGCTTTTCGCCACTGCAAGAATTTGAGAGCAGGATGAGAGTCTTGTTTGCTGTTACCGTTATGCTGATGGCTATGCTGATAGGTTCGGCCTCAGCACTGATTAAGGAAAAACTTTTGATTAGAGGAGCAGCTGCGGGAGCTGCCGGTGCAGTTGGTGCCGCTGGAGGATTTCTAGCCGGATCTGCCCTTCCGGGACTTCTACACCACCGCTCGTAAGTCCGGCAATCGTATGTGACAAAACCGCTTACTTTGTCTACCGCGAGGGTGATGTAAAAATTACACACTGTAGCAGCAACTAGCAACATCGAACTGGCAATCGCTAGGAGTTTTTATATTCTTTTTCATGCTGAAACTGGTCTTTGGCTGTCCGTGTTTCACACAAAGCAGCTTTTTTCTTTACATGAAAATGTGAACATATTGAATACAGGAACATGATTATTGCTTGGCTATTATCGCGGGAAAGAATTCAGGTTTGTCTTAATCGAATGTGTCGATTTGTTTAGAGAAACAAAAACATTTTCAAAAAGCAACAAAGATGTATTTTCGACAAATTAGATACTTATAGCAAAATATCTAAGTACACTGTCGTTTGCTTTTGGTGTTGCTTACAGCGCTCCAGTGCACCACGTAAAACACGTTAAACATATACATATCCATCCGGAACCTTCTATCAAGGTCATCCATGAGCCCATCAAGGTCGTGCATGCCCCCGTCGAACACGGATGGAATCAGGAATGGTAGATAGTTGATTTGTCGCTGCTTCGCTATGCGTACGCTGAACGTGTTGCCATCAGTTGCGACCTGTGTTTCCAATCGTAATTGTAGCTTTCCTTGTCTGGTTTTGCCAATTCTCCACATACGCAAAGCCACTGGCCAGCTCTTGTACATGTCGATCAAACGTAACCTGTATAGTTCGTTTTGTTGTCTGTGTTAAATGTTCCAAATTGGGAAGAGCAAGAAGGACGTTGTCATGCTGTACATAGTAACGAGTAATTGAAAACGGTTTGTATGTGAGTAAATTTGTACATACTTGTTTATAACTCCACAGTCCAATATAATGGACGTTTTTTTTTGTTATGTCCTTTCGTGTTTTCAAATCTGTCTGACTAGAAGTTGTCAATAAAATGCGTGCTTATACCATAATATCATTGTATAATAATTCGGACCAGTACATTTAAAATTATCCTTTCATGGCGTCGTTTCAGCCTGAAAGAAAGCTGTGAAATATGGTCGTATAGGACACAGAAATATTCACAGAAGGCTTTTACGATACGCGTAATTTGTGGCACGTTTATCGTAGAGGATATCGCATTTTTATTACTTATTATTACTTAGATACTTAGATCCGAGCCCAAGCGTTGTCGTAAAGCTATATGTTGCTTTTTTTCCTGATACTTTGTCGTATCAATTTTCCTAACAGCTTCGTAATGAAACTTATGCAAAAAAAGGCCCATAACATATTATACAATCATTGGTGATATTTATTTTCGTTTAAAATTTGCCTCTAAAATCTGCTTGGAAAAAGTTAGCTTGGTGTTTCATGCAGAAAGGCACGATTGACCTGTAATATTTCAAAATGAGATTTGCTTGATCCCGTAGACTGCTATCGAACTTCTAAAAATCTCACCCTTGCGACCTGGCTATTGTTTAAATCTAAACAAGCAAATCACCGGACAGTTTACGATAGAGAAGTTTAAAGTTATCGTCAAGTTTACAAATTTCAGTTATTTATGGGAAAACTGCTGCATATAGTATGCAGATTGACTAGTTGTGTCCGGTGATTTTCTAAACAATTCTACATTAAAGGACGAACGACGAAATGCCTTTATTTATAAAGATATGAGTTAGACACATGCGCAGACCATGTAAAAGCGACGTTGTATTTAATTACAAGCAATTAATTAATTATTTATTTTCAATTGCGAGTACTTTGCCTGGCTGACGACCAAAAACAGACTTTCGATCAGAGTTGATTATAACGATACTGGTATCACGGTCGAAATCGACAGATCGCTGTTTATCCTCGACCACTTTATAGGGCCTTGAAAGGATTACGTTAACTAGGTGCTATAGACATTATATATGTTCGATCTCAACGGTGTTTTTATCCTATAATTTATAGAGGAATCATGTTCATTAATTAAAGTGGCGGTCTCGTAAAGCAGTGGCTACGTAACTTTTGTACGACATCCAACTCTCGAGTCAATCTATGTTTATAATGCTACGATGCGTTCAAAACTATATCGGAAAATATCGGTTGAAGCTGCATGCGGCGTCTGGAGATCCTTTCTAGATTGAAGTTCCTCTCTGAAACGAACGTAATCATTTGTAAGGGCGGCATTTTGTCTAGTTAACACATGACTAAGTGCGTACCTGTACATAAATAAGTCAGATCATTGAATAGGTATCTACAAAGTCGTACTGCACTATCAAAACATACGTCGTCAATATGCAATATAATACGAATGTACATTATAAAGCCGATAATGATGCTTCTGATAGGGACGACAAAAAAATAATGTGCATATGCCTCCGGCAGAGATAACGACTACGAATACACGAAATATCGATCCTTTCCATAAGGTATTGACGACTAAAAATCGTGCACGATGCACGTGGATCAACAAACATACACAAACAAACAAGTTGACATCATTTTCTAACATTCGAATAGGGCGCTTGCTTTGATTGAAAGCTTAGATTTTACCCCAAGTATATGTGTTTCCTCGAAATTGGCAAAGAGTCAGTTCGACAAATAGTCTATTTCCACCCCTAAACGTAGCCTCCATATATCCATACGCATAAGGTTCAGGGCTCTGACCGAAGCAGCGGCCGTGTCCTTCGTCCCTATATCGATGTCCACGTGCGTGATGCCTACGCACGTGCAAGTGATTGTGCTGGTAAAGGTAACAGCGAGAACAATATTATCTAAAATAGTTTAATTTTCTCTAATGATGAAAGCGTTTCAAACCTAAAAATACAATGCCGTAAAGCAGAAGCGTACAGAAGCAGCATTAGACATATTACATTATAACATACATTGCTAGGGAAGGTATGTATCAATATCTGTTCATTGAACATTGCAAATAGAGCCTATACATAAAGGCGAACAGTGAGCGCTCTAGAACGTTTAAACGCCACTGATGTTGAACTACCTTTTTTTCATTTAATAAGGATAAAGGAGCGGTAGAACAGCTGAAATTTCAATACCTGTATAGTTGCGTTTTTCAGAGGCTAACGTTGCCGGTCAATAGCACCATAAGAAAAACCAAATCTTTCAATAAATATGGTGACATGACTTGAAACAGTCGTGTATTTAGGTCTAGTTTTGCGTATTTTTCTGTAAAAGGCAAATCAGGCATGCTTTGTAAGTAGGCATTGCAAAGCCCTTGCTCAGTGTTCGCTGCTAGCTAGATCCGCTCCCTCCGCCCGCTTTTCTGCCTCTTTGAGCGATTTAAATCCACAGCGCCTGGAGGTACATTCAGAGGAAGCATCTATATTTGAGATCATATGGAAATTTATTCTAGAACCTACCTATGGTGACCATACCCGGAGTATATAGGACGATGATGAATAAGTTCTGGTAGAGCTGACCCTGCTCGAAAACCTACGGCACCTCCAATGGCCCTCGCAGCACCTGCTGTTGCGCTTTCTCGTAATGAATTTCTCCATGGACAAGGCGATCAGATAGCAGCATAGAATAATGAAAATTATCAAACGAACGCGCATTTTGTCTAGTAATCGAGAACTCCTTGACGAAAACAAATCACCTGTTTACGCCGCTTGACAACAATTGAGTAACTGTTATTCAGAGGTTGTCGCACTGCTCGACAGACTCCAAATGCCTATCAACCCGATGTCTTCCACACTCCTTGTTTATCGTCCGTAGTATGATTTTTTATATATATATATATATGTATGTGTTGCGTGTGTATGCATCAGAATGCGAGGGATTATGCTTGCACGGCTGGCATTATTTTGTCTCTCGATCGAGCTCTTTCTGATGCTTTGACGTTATCTAAATCAGAACACTCTGTTTATTAATTGTATGTAGGTGGAAGGAAGGAGAAGGGGCGGAGGGGGGGCTAAAAGGGCACAAACTAATCGAAGTGACGAACAGACTAGCGCAAATAGGCTACTTCTATAGCAGTCAGCGGAATCTTAACCCACCATCTTCTGCTATCCTGCAAAATCCTGAAGTCTACACTGAGTCTTCACGCCCGTTTGAATGTTAAACGTGCAACTGCAAAGAGCTGAGACCGATCGCTGATGCTGATGAACTTTCCAGAATGTGTTCCGTAGTCGGTCGTTTTCTTGGCTTCCATTGTTGGCGTCTTTACTGTTAGTGTGGCGTATCGTCACCCTGGGGATCCGGCGACGCCACCCATTATCGATCTTTTGTTCTTATTAAAAATGAATCGTTTGTACTATTACACGTTAGCCATACGGTAGAATAACAGCAACGTATTTGCCTTCGGAACCTGTGTATTACTCTGTACCTTGCTACGGTGCAACATATATGTACATATGTATAAATGTTCTTTGTATAATGTATGAGTGATGTTTATGTTCCCTGTATTATTATTATACCCTATAGCTGGTTAAGCGATCCCAATTGTTCAGTATACGTGGCAAGTGGTAGCGTTGATGTTTTCCTAACTGGCGCGTTCGTGCCTGACGTAAGTGCCATACATTATTTCATTTAATTGCCACAGAGCCCAGCGTAGAAGTCCGCAACGCTCAAGATCAGTGGGATCTGAAGAGGCACAGGTAATAATGCCCTACAAAACAATGACCTTCAAAAAGGTTTTTGTTAATGAAAAAACAAGTAATCCGCTAAGCCGTCAAGAAATTCAGCGTACATTTAAGTGCATCTATGCATCAGTGATTTCTGTAGGCGTGTAATTGTACCAAAGTAATGAAAAAGAACGTTATCTAATGCGGGGCATATATAACATGGGGTATTGGTCAACATTGTTCTACGCTAGTAAAGATTCGTAGAAATACATAACTAAAAAATCACTGTCTAAATTAAATTGAGTTGATGTATGGTTGTTAGATTAGAATTTTTTTTTTCCAAAAACTATATAGTGCGATCAATTTTTGTTTTGCAGGGTACACACGATACTACCGATTTTTCTCTCACTGACAATAAGACTAATCTTTGCGAAGAAAAATTAACTGTCGATTACCAGGTCCGTAGTGACATGCATCTCTCAGTTTTTCGTTCACGTTTTTAATTGGTTAGTACACGTTTCGCCAGTAAATTTGTCGTCATCAGACGTAGGTCGCTTAAATTCTGATTGAATATACTTTGGAAACTTAATGTTGAGATTGCTCATTCTAACACCATTCTCAGAAATTTTTTCTTGCAATTTTGAGGTAGATCTTTGTCAAAATGAGATGTACGATGTCACCCTTTATAGACACTTTAAAGGCCCTCAACAATAATGTCCACATAATGGATTTAATATGGATTACAGATGGTTACAGCTATAAAGACCTGCTCGGAACTATACGGTTAACTACATCGAGGGCTATGCGTGGTTGGAAGCAATGCGCCCCTCGAACACTTCCAAACCCACTATCCGGGACGATCGAATAGCCTATGCCGCCACCTAGAACCAACCGACTCTTAGGTCTCGGGACAAACATCGACAGCACCTTGATGTGCACTAAGTGATAACTCCTTTCGTCAGGTTTCGGCCGAACATTCGATCATCTCCAACGAGCCTCCTTTTTAGAGTCCTGTATGCATAGCTTTTGTGGACCTATCCGGGTAGGTGTGCCTCAAAATATACTAGACCGTCTCAAAATCATGCTGCGGGGGAGCGAAGTGACCACAAGTGAGAATGTAGCAACGATAGTTCGCTCCAAGCGAAGAACAGGCCTTGTCCAAGGCAATAATCTCAGTGCAACTCCATTTTTTGTCGTAGTTACCGACCTGTCCGATGAGATCGAAGACCCGCTGATGAACCTTCTCTTATACGCAGACGGTTGTATTCTGTATGCCAGTAGCCGACATCACCTCTGACAACCCTTACTTATCATCAAGTACTATACAACAGGTCTGAAGTTCGAAGTTAACTTGCGGAAGATCATGGCGATGAAGTTCCGCCGAGAATATCGTTTGCCTTGGCGGATT